TTCAAAAAATACATCATGAAGCTTTCATAAACAGAAAAAAACGTAACAATTACAGACTTTAACAATGCCTCAAGAATTTTTCTAGGCACCCCTCAACAAGGGACACCTTATGTTGAAAGCCCCCGAATGAAACGGACCTGCATTGCATCTCCGGCTGTTTCACGTGACGCTGAATCTGTCACTGGTCTAAGCGCATTAGTGTCCAACGGTCAAAGTCAGTATCCAAACCAACTTGCAATGCAGTGGTTGGACTTCTCTTTCAAAATAAGTCAAGCTTGAGCGCTTCAGGCACAGACGTTCAATGAATGGGGCCTACATACATATCTACCTCTGTGAATTCGATCTTTATTCAAGGTACCCTATATTCTTGCTATACAAGGAATCTAGGGCCACACCCGTGGTACTTATTTACGCTTCTACAGTAACACATGTGCTCCTTGTCATGTCAGCTATGGCAGGCGGCACCTTGAAATCCATGGCTCTTCCAGGCAGCCAGTTGCCGTCAGCGTGCCATCGCGGAGAAAATGTGGAATAAAGGGATTTTGGTGAGGGGGGGGGGGTTTAGGGTAACGAACATACATCGCTCAACCCCGATTAATGGAAGGGCCTGGGGGGAGCTATATAACCACTAATATAACCCATTATAGTAATTGCCATGTTCTTTTCCATTATGCCAATATAACCCCAACATAACCCCAGTGGGATAGGTAGGGGTGCTCGGGCTATGGACTCTGAAAGCATGAATCGGATTCGGTGGTTCCTGGAGCGAGGATTGTTTTACATTCAGGTGGATGTTGGACTTTGCGGGAATACTTGGAGGGCCGGAGGGCTTAGCAACTGGGTTGAAAATTCCCTACAATCCAGTATCCATATGGTACCAGTAGTTATCCCCATTAGGAACTACTTCTGCAATCCCCCTGACCCTCCAAGTATAAATAGAAGGCCTCGCACTATGCGGACAGCCTCAGCCAAGAGGTGAATATAGACAGAGTCATGGCTCGTGCTGAAAGGGGGCGGGTAAGTGGACGGATTCAGATACTGTATATGTTTATATATATATATATCCTGTATAAAGTTTTTTCTATCAGATACTGTATATGGGTTTTTTTATCCCCTGTATAAGGTTTTTTTTATCCCCTGTATAGGGTTTGGGGTCCAGGGCTTAGGGTGTAGGGTATCCTTCCTTTCCGTCCTGGCTCCTCTTCAAGATGCAGGGACACAAAAGAAACAATCCTCCCAAAGCAAAGCATGAGGGAACCAGCCCCCTCCCCACAAGGAACCATTAGGTCACTTCAGTAAAAGTTACCAGAATAGGTAACATGAATTATAGCCTCTTTATCAGACCCCTTTAGAGACACTTACCGTACGGGAGAAGGACCCAACATATCAAGACAGAAGGGAGGGGCTGGCTGTATGTATAGAAAATGGAAACTACTGTAATGGGGTTATATAGGGCTTAGGGTTTAGGATATAGGGATAATGGAAAAGAAAATGGAAACTACTACACTATAATAGGGTATTATCCCCCTATAATGGACAATCAAATGGAAAAGAAAATGGAAAATGAAATGGAAACTGGGTATGTGTAGGGGTTGACTGGGTTGCTGTTGAGGAACTCAATTTAAGTTACCATATTATGGGCACGCAGTAAATACTGGGGTTCAAAAAAGGCTTCTTAACAGCAGCCCAAATGAGCAACCATCTGGTAAACCCATACCTCGCTCCGAAACTCTCCGACTCTCAGATCGACGGATGACTGGGAGAACTGCACGAGATTGATGGGAGGCTTTCCCAAAATTATGCTGTTTTGGGTGTCCCCATCATCAGGATTATCGCATCCTGGGGCCCATATCGGGGTCCCCCTTTTTACGGAAACTACCTGATGGCTCCCGCAAGCTCATCGAAGTACCTATTACAGTCTGTAAGTTCCAACCTGGCCATGACCGCAATTCTTGAGGGATATAAGGGCTTGTAAGAACAACTATCAAGAAGTTCTAAGTAACCTCAGACTTCCAACTCCCCACTGAATACAATCAATATAGACAAGTATATTCACCCAATAGCCATGTCATCTTCCAGTTTCTCTGCCCCTTGTTCCGTCATTTGGCCGTAGGCCCCCTATGTTACAAGCTGAAAAAAAACTGAAAGTCCTGCTATGAACCCTAAACCCTAAACCCTGAACCCTAAACCCTAAACCCTGAACCCTAAACCCTAAACCCTGAACCCTAAACCCTGGACCCAGTTGTCACCGGAGTTGAACTGAAGATGCGTCACGCGACGGGCTTGTAGCCAGACAGTGCCGGAAAGCCCTAAAACTTTAAGGGATTCTATAGGGACTATATAGGGGTTACCATGGTTCTATAGGACTGCATACTATCAGATAGGGCAGATAGGGACAATTCTGGCTTTAAGGGTACTACCCAACAAATAGCCAATCAAATGCAAAAATGAACATGAAATAGAAACTGGGTTCAGGTGATGTACGGGTTATACTTGTTGTCTGGGCTAATGGTCATTGGAACACTGACGAGTGTGCTTTGTTTGCCAAGTTGTGTGGTGAACCTTGATGTAATCGTTTCTTGGCGAGTGTGCTATCGTTTTGCGATCTAAAGCCCTCGGACTCAAAAACCAATGTCCATCCTCTATATATCTCTTATGACCGATAAAACAACCGCACATCATATAGTGGTTTTTAGGGGCTGTGGGTAGGGAAAATGCCAAGGCATAACCAGGCCATCTCCTCCAGTCCCTTACCGCCCCTTACCTACTCACCGTAGTTCAAGAGAAATCCAGTCTGCTGTTGATGGACAAAATCCTGCATGAGCCTAGGTATTTTCATTTCCCATGAGGCCTAAAGACATACATGTAGTAGGTTGTTCAGGATTTTGTCCATCAAGCCGTAGGAAGCACAGGAAAAGCTGTACAATCCCTGTTTCTTACTCTGTGGCCTCAGCTTTATAGCTGGCCGGGCGCTGCTTCCAGGCCGCTAAGACACCATCTGCAGAGAGCCACCCAGTACAAACCGCAAGGGTTTAGGGTTTAGGAAGAAAAGCAAGGCTGACACTGACACCCGGACCTGAAGCCTGGGAAAGGTATGGGATGAAGCCAACCAAACCTGGCCCTGGGCAGATGCCAGCCAGGCCCCAAACAAGCCCGAAAGTCAATGAGCCAAAGATCAAAGATTCGTAGTCTCCCCTCCTTGAGCTCTTCCCGAACTTGCAGTCCTTGCCCCACAGGGGCTTGCGGTCCTCCCGTTCTGCGTAGAAGGACGCGGGCGCCGAGGCACCAAGGCCACAGCCCATGACACACATTAAGCTTGGATCCCAAATGCCAAGCACATCCAGGAAGTTTAGGACCTCTGACCGGCTGGTCATCCCGGGGCAGCCGAGACCCATTCCAAAAGTGAGGCCGCTAGCGAGGGGTGACATGTAGCTGCGAGCCAAGGGGGGCAAACACACCGTGGAAAGGACAAGCACGACGGCAGCAACCAGGGAACCCACGAAGAACTCCCAGCGCGGAGGCCATGACAGCTCTGCAATGCTCCCCTCTGACTGCTGTTCGATGGCATGTCGAGAGACGGCCACAGTAATCGCCACCGCAAGTATGAAGCATGGCAGAGAGATCCAACTCCTTAGGCTTAGCCTGGGAAGACCCGCAGATCCCGTGGCTCGATGTACAGCCACGGCCTACCCGAGTACCTACCCAGACCCCCAAAGGGATCTAAAAATTAGATCCCCTAGAACCATATGGGATTTTATATAAGGAATATATAGGGGTTAATATGGGTCTATGTAGGGGATCTAATTTTTAGATCCTCCCAGGGGTCTGGGTACCCCAATGCAGAGGCCAGAAAGGATGTAGCGCAGCGCAGAGAAGGGGATCGCCTCAGGAAAAACAAACTCGCGGTTCAGCAGGAGGTTCACAAGACCACTTAGCCCAAAAGGAACAGCCATTTCCATAAGGACTCCTTCATCTGAGCCATTGTCTAAACTCCTAGTATCCCCCTTAGTAACCCTTGTAGTAGTCCCCTATATAATCCCCTATATAACCCCCTTTAAGGAGTTTTGTGGACTCCTTCATCTGGCAAGTAACCAGACTCCGCACTGCAGGCCCTAGGATGGCACTGATGCCGGTGATCTTGCCATCTGAGTAGTCTCGTTTTTGGTGGTTCAGCACAGTAAGATAATATTCCTGATATAAAGTACTGTAGCCCAAAAGGAGGATATAATCTTACTCTATATTGGGTACCATCATATCCCCAAATGAAATACTACTCATCTGGTGATGTAGGCTAGAGATGCTGCAGCGCCAGTCAGCAGGCCACCAATGCTGGACTCCACTAGTGTGAAGGCCATCAGCACTTGCTCTTCCTGCCCCTGCATACTAAGGGAACGATAGCCCCACTGGCTACGCCCAAATAGAGTTTAAGTGTCCAACATTCAAGATACAATGTCATTTTGAGGTTTCATTTCATGTCATACTTTCACGCCTTGTTACGCATCATGCTAAGCCGCATGCATGCAAGCCCTAAAAAGTAGATAGAATATGGCTTTGGGTATATTATAATAAGATCCCCATATACTCCATATTCTATCTACTTAAGGGGGACGGTAACTTTATACTGCCACTGCAAATGTCCTGTCACCTAACCCAGCAGGTCCTTTTTTTCTTGTGGCAGGCGCCGACTTACAAGGACTTCCTCCAGTGTCTGGAGGTGTCAAGATCATTAGCAATTTATACATGCTGAGGGGCAAGACAGCTCCATGCTTCTCAATGACTCATAGAGGACAAAGTATCATGGGATCCCAACCTGGAGCAATGAATTCCCACGGACTGTCTTCCCCGCTCAGCAGCACTACTGTAAACCGATGATGGTGAGGCGGGCAGTCCAGCTTCAGCCGTAACCCTGACACCCTAAAACCCTCAAAACATAACACCAATTGCCCTAGAACTCTTTTTGGGGGGCAGGGGGCCTCTGTAGGCCACGGCCCAAACTTTATTCACCTCATACCTGAGTCTGCGCGTGGACGGCCACATCTTCGGCAGAATAGCGAATCGCCCATGTACCTGAGGTGGTTTACTGGGGCTTCCTAAATGGGCCAAGCGCTTCTAAACAGATGGCCATTGCGCAATGGGCTTAGACATTGCAGTGTCATTTGCGGCGTCAGCTAATTATTGACGAAGGAGCTGCACCAAGTCGGAGCAACACGCCTAGCACGCCTATGTGGACCAGCTCAAGCTCGCAGGGCCAATGATCAATGTATACAGGAAAAGCTGACTGGCAGCTGCTCCCAGGTGCGGGGGGTGTTCAGCATGCAGGACGTGCAGCAAGAAGGCCCTCGAACAGAATGAGGTAAGATACCAGATCATATTAGTTCCCACACAAGCAGGTGAGCCCCAATCTCCCAAGAGTGTTTATGCATACTTGTGAACAAGCAAATCTTGGCATCCTATGTTACGAGAAGCTTGTCGCCGAATGCTGGCACACCCTACTCTCGACTGTCTGAACTCAATGTCTTTGTCGGGTTCTTCCACTCCATGATAATTCTGAATCGGGAGATGAAAGTAGCATTACAATCATTAGATGAAAGATCTCCATGCACGAACGTTATTATTGCTTCATCGTGTGAGTCCCCACTCATCAGCACCACTGCAACAATACAGGTCTGCTGCCGCCCCACGATCTGCTGCAGTTTCTCTGCTTCTGGTACTGCCCTTGTCTCTACCACTACCACTGCCACCACCGCCACTGCTACTAGGCCCATAGAACCATCAAACAGTGATGCTATCAGAATATCACCACCGCCACTACGACCACCAGCAATGCGCTTTTGAGGCAGCGGCATGTTTCCGCAGCTAGGGCATCGCGGCATCAAGTCCTCTGCCAGCTTTAGAAGAAGAAAGTACAATTAGGCCTGTGGGAGAGGACAAGTGGGATCCTGAAATTGAAAAACTACCCAACCGACTTTAGGCTTTGCGGGGGTTCTGGTTAGGGGTTTGGGGGTGGGGGGCCCTAAGCCCCCAACCCTAAAAGCCTAAACCCTCAACCCAAAATCCTAAACCTAAACCCTACATAACCCCAATTTACTATATAGCATTCCATTAACCCTATGTCACCCAACATTACTCTAGATAAAACCCTAAACCCTAAACCCTCGGAAGCTCCTGGTTGGGTAGGACAAGTCGTGTGGCATTCTCTAAGCTGCTCATGTCGGGTTCCACCTCCACCTCGGCCACCTGCCAATGCACAGTGTTTAGGGTTTCGGGTTCTAAGGTGTAGGGTTCCAGGGTTCCAGGGTTCTAGGGTTCTAGGGCTCTGGGTTTAGGGTTTAGGGTTCTGGGCTCTAGGGTTTAGGGTTTCGGGTTTAGCAGATATGCGAGATAAAGACCCGTAAAAATAAAAAGCTGTATACAGTGTGCAAAATTCAGAACACGTGTATTGTGTTCTGGAACTAGACATAGTTGCATTCTGCTACACACAGAATGTAGATGTACAAGGTATATGTATATACCCCTGCGCATGTCCCATAGATCCACTCACCTACATTCTGATAGAAACCCTGCATGATGTATACTCAGGATAAGCCCTCAAGCTCACATCGACTTGACACCTCCGCACTGCATGTTTGTCCATCCTCTGACTCAATAATCACATAAGCAAAGTATGGCGACGATGGGGACAGGCTACTTCCAAGACTTGTACTGAGAATCCCCTTAGTTGGCCTATGCGAGGGACGAAATTGACAGCAAGCCTTCATCCTTGTAGATTAAACACTCCAGCAATCTAAATCGCCGCCCAGCCAATGTCCACGAGTAGACACAAGGCATGGAGAAGTCAAGGATTCACGTCGAAGGCTTGGAGAATGAAGATGTAAGAGCTGCAAAAGAGTTGTCTATCTTAGAGGCATCATTCTCCAGCTGCTAAACCCTCAACAACGGTGTTGCAAGGATTGGCAGTGGAAGCCTTGACAGACATGCTGACGCGCTTCAGCTGCAGCTGCGTTCGCATGGCCTTCATTTGCACACTGGTAATCAGGCCATGAGTAAGAGTCCACACTTGTGCTACATCTGCATCAGGTTGCGTGTTCTTAAGTATGAAGGTTGCTGGTGGCTCATGACAAATCTACAGTGAAACAACATATGTAGCACATCGCAGTACTGGAGCACATGAAATTTAGCAAAGCCCTGGCAGGCAGCCTCCACATCCTCGGTGAAGTTGTTGACAGCAACGACGTGATCGCCCTGAGGACTCATGGCACTGCGATAGTTTGGGGTTTAGGGGTTTAGGATTTAGAGCTACCGACTAGGCTTGAGAGAGGCCAACAATCCCATGGGGTCAGCAATTGCGTGTAGTACTTGGCTCCTGCCCCCACCCAGTAACAGTCCATATTAGGGGTCCTATTAAGGGCTGTACATAACCATATTATAAGTATTATCCGACTGTTACTGAGGGGGGGCAGTACCCAATGTATTACTGCAAGGCTTTCTCGATGGCAATGACGTTTTGCAACCTGCCTCCTTGACCTGTCGGTCTGGATGCTCGGCATTCCACCTGCAGACATGACGTGGGGTTCTCCTCGGTATGAATATATATGGCTGGTTGTCAAAATTATGGTCCCTTTTTGGGTATATTAGGTGCCGTATCATAATAGGGATCCAAAAAGGGGACCACAATTTTGACAACCACCCATATATAATATTACATATATAGTATATGGGACTCATAGGGAGAATAAGTTCTCACAAATGTCTAGGGGTTGTTTTGATCAACTCTGACTGGGCCCCTGTTGCAGACTGAAGCATTCGACTTGGCCACTCTTGTCATTCATGCTCGGGAAGAACACGAAGTGTACGAGAACACGTTGCAATCACAACTGCGATCATCCCCGCGGCCATGGGGGTTATACAGGGATCATGGAGAGGAAAATGGAAACTACTATTCAGGGGTAATAGGGATAATGTTGGGGTTCTATTGGGATAATGGAAAATAAAGTGGAAAATACTATAGCATTTGGTTTAGAATACCTTCATGTTGTGTTGAGCACTGTAGGGACACGCACTGTAGGGACACGCTGCGTGTCGAGCTACGTTTCAACAATCCGAAAATCGGGGTTCGGGCTCGATAGGGAAATGCTGGGGGTTTGGCAGTGGAGGCTCCAGAGATTAGACATTGCAGGGGTTGTGTGACCCCACAGCAAGGGCGGCCCACAATAAGACAATTCTGAGGAGAAAGATTGTCTGGGCGAAGAGATTCCGATGTACGACACGTTACACCAAAGTGCCCTCCAGTCTTGAGTAACAAAGCAGTAAAGCAATGGTGCTTGTGCTCATCGTATTTGCGCATGTTACTGCTGAGGACCTTGCCAACCCTAAACCCTCAAACCCTAAACCCTAAAACCCTAAACCGCGTCAATGAATGCTCATCTGAATCGGCTCGCGCCATGAACCGCGGAAAACTTGGTTTCCATTCCAGGTACTGAGAAGTTAAAAGTAATTCCTTCCCCTAACATGATGGAGAATCAAATGGAAAGTGAAATCGAAACCGGTGGTATGAATGAATGTTGGGGTTATATTGGGGTTATATACAGTTGTATAAGGATGATGGAAAAAGAAAATGGAGTCCAATATCTAGGGTTAGGGGCTCAGGGTAACCAAACTCTATTTACAAATCCCCACTTATTACCGTTAGATCTGAGGGGAATGTTTGTTTACAAAAAGGTGAGGAGCGGGGGTTGTTATTCGGCGGAAGTCATTGTTTTGATCCTGACATACATACTTCAACATAGCTTACACTGCTCGTTGTCACGAACTCGCCATGCTCTGGCGTCACCTGCAGGTCCTATATGAGCATTCCCAAAAACGGGGTACCCTTCATTTCCCTCACATATTCTAAGTCTTTTTTACAGGGACCCCCCAAAACAAATCCCCAAGGCACATGAAATCCTCAGAGGCATCAGAGCACCTAGCAGCCCCCAAATCCTGAACCCCAAACCCTAAACCCATTCCCACCCAGGCCTGTTTAGGCCG